CTAAAAAAAAAAAAAAAACCCCCACAAAAAAAAACCCCTAATTGTATGGGTTAAATTAAATAGGACTTTCAATGTCTTTAGTCCCGGAGATCAACATTTTCAAAACTGGTAGTAATCTTTATGAAACAGCTCTGTCCCTTAAGCTGGAAACAGTTTCTCAGAGACCTTTACTTTTAATATGATATCCCTAAAGAGGTCATAGCAGGAGAAGCCCTCCTTCGATATAGCTTTGTTGGAATGAAGCCACCAAAGAGTCAGAGGACATAAAGGATCTTTGGGCCAATGCAAAAGTATAGATCTTTTTGTGCAGATGGTCCTGGCTTCCAACCGGTCCCTCCAGATCCACTGAGCCAATCCGAAAATTAGAGGAAAATATTCAGAAAGCAGAACCTCGCAGAGTTTCTCTCACCCATCTGCTCCTACAGACTCTGCAACAGGAGGAAATCTGGCTTGGGTAACAGAAGAAGGGTGAAATGGATTGAACAGGGCTCAGAAAGGGCCAGAAGTTCAACCCAAAATGCAACCAAACTGTGAGAGTTTGGAAAGGACTGGAAAAAACCCATACACTGGAAAAATATAATAAGCCCCAGCTGTAGAGGGTTTAGGGATCTGAAAGCCAAATCAAGAAAAGCCAAAAGCATGGTTTCTTCTCCTGCATGACTTCAGAAAGCAAAATACGCTGCCTGTTCAATGAAATTAAGAGTCCCTTTGTGTCTTTTATGAGTACTGTACATGTTTATACGTCCTGAATGGTCACACATATAGAGATATTTCTGTATGAGCAAATATTTATTCCTGCCAAAACATTTTACATTAATGGACAATAAAAAACCTTCATAGATCATATATTTTTGAACATTTCAATTTTCTACAATCACCCTATGTAATATAAAACCTTCCTGTTTATACTGTCTGTATAGTACTTTCCAGGTTCTCCTTAAACAGACAGGTTGGCTTAAGTAACTGCAGCTTTTAAGACCTGATCCAGCGCCAGCCAAATTCAATGCAAACGTTCAAGCGACATCAATCTCCTTTGAACTAAGCTTTCCATGCAATTTGTATGTATTTGAAGGAGGAATCTTTTTTGCTTGAAAGGTTGCTAGTGCTTAATGTAGCTTGCATTGTCTTTTTAAAGTAAGACAATCAAATCACATAATGTAATTCATCTACATTATTAGCCTTCCCCAAAGACAAAGTGCAGGCTAGACACTGAGGCTTGAGAGGCATGTGAGAGAAAACATCGCCTTTAAATTAGCATTAGCAGATATCGGAGGAGGGGAGGAAAAGTTAAGAACTGCTCACTATAAAATATACACTTGATGACGGTATGCGCTTGCATGTTTTACAGAGGACAGCGAAGCAGAATTTGGCATGGTAGGGTTAGCTCCTGTAACCAAGACAAGGGGATTTCTCTAATACCCAAGGCAGCATTACCAACTCTCCCAACTTTATTACCAGTCTCGACATATTATACTGTTCTCTTCAGCTTGGCTCTGGAAAGAAAACAATTTCATGAAAATCTCGTTTTTCAATAAAAATGAGAAAACCTAAACTGGAGAATCAAGTGTGGAACCTTAAAGCTTGGAAAGCTAAATGGCAAACTGCTACTTTTTGTCTCTCAAATTTTAATATCTCACAAATTTTAGTTAAACCAGTTTCATAATTTGCTTGGACTTCACATATGATTTATGACCATAGGGCAAAGGCAATACCAAACATACAGCAGGGCCAGTGGGCTGCCACAGCAAGAACAGCATTCAGTTTTAGAGCTGGTGCTCTGTGTGTTTAATGTCTGTATGTTAGTGAGTTCTTGAGAAAAATCCCCATTTTTCTTTGGATTGGATCCCCAGCTCCCAAACAAACAAACAAACAAACTCCAATTCTTTTCAACCAGAAATGCCTAAAACCCCCGCTCCTTTTAATAAAACCAAAGAATCCCTGCTTTTGCCACATAAAAACTACTTTAAGCAGACTGAGGCATGATATTAGGGAAAGGGCATTTAAAACGTCGCACTGAAGATCAGTGGCTTTGATCTGCTAGGAAAGAAAATTGCTTTGATTTAAGAAGTAATATCGCTGAGGACTGCATGGCAAATATTTCTTCACATGTGCAGCAGGGTGTGTGCTGTGTCCTTTCCGTTCAGTACAGAGACAACATGGGCTTTAGCAGTACAAATAAATACTCGCAGATCCAAAGGCCCTTAATTTTGGACAAGGGGGTGGCTGTATTAGAAGTCTTAGTTTAGCAAACCGTGTCTTCATCAAGACTTAAGCACAAAAGAGGTGCTAGAGCCCTGACATGTAAGAGTGAAATTTCAATGGCTCATGTGGCTTTTGATCAAACTTTTAGTGTCTGAATTCAGTGGTAAGCACACCCATTGACTTCAAAGATAAAAGCTGCACCCCTCAAACTCAAAGTTCAAAGAACCTGCAAGCTGCAATGACGGGTCGTCTTTAGCACCTTACTCAGTTGTGTCGAGATTTTATTCCCCACCTTGAAATATTTTATTAATAGGCAAACTATACACAATATGGAAATACCTATTAGATTTATTTTTGTAAAATGAACATATATAGCTTAAGTTAAAAAACTCTGGGCCTTTACAAACATTCACGGATGGCTTCAGCAGGCAATGTAAGATCTTGCTGCAGACACAGGAGTATTTTCTATTCCTTTCACAAAACATAATAAATGAATCTTTAATACTAGATGCACAACGTAACATAGTACCACATGATTTCTGAGGAGAGGACATGAACTCTCAGTCCTAATGAGGAAATAGCGCTTAGTCTTTGCACTTTCATGTAGAGCTGCAGCTTGGAGAGAAATTTAATATCACTAATTTTACCTTGAACATCAAGGTTTAAGACTTACATGTTTTGGGGAAAGAAAGGAGTAAACTTCAAGCTGTTTTGATAACATGAATATAAGATAAAAAAACCATATTTTCTAGTAGAGGCAGACAATCATTAAATTATCCCATAGATGAGAGCATTAGCAATCTAATCATTAGTCAAGAAGGCATATCCCACAAGTAACAATGATGTGCCACTACGATTTCTTAAGATGATTTTCTACTAGACTCAAGACCATATGATTTTCAGAGAATAAATCACACCCTGGATTGAGACCCCATCCTCAAATTACTTGACTAAAATTCTTAGTTTCAACACATTTCTCGGAGACAAAGTTGAATCTACACTAACAGTGAGAAAAAGGCAACAGAAAACTTCTAAGGTGCACATAATGCAATGGATATCACGTTATTTTTCCTCGGTGTCTCAATTCTTTCATTTTGTAGACCTAACCAAATATGAAAACACTAAATACAATCTCTGAGCTCAAAGCCACTTCCAAAACTGCCAAGTATAAAACTGTTACTGAACCGCTCTGTTCTGTTTATCATATTAAGATACATTTTTTTGATGAAAAAATGCTAGATTGCAAGTGTAACATAATAGAACCAGCAAGCACTGCCAGCAGGTCTGAGGAAGAGAGAATAATTCAGAGATATTGTCATCCGTAGGCCAATTTATATTGTCAGACAGCAGGTTCACATTAGTCTCTGATGTCACTGCAATAATGGCATAATATAACGATTGAGCAAAGAATACCTGTGGGGTATATCTATACGGTGCGGTATATCTATACTTGTTAAAGTATTTCAGGATTAATTCAAAGCAGAATCAGAAGAAGCAGAAGACCAGGATTAAAAGAAGAGTGAGAAAATGGTGTTCATAAAGACTTCTGAATATTTTAGCCCTTGTTTTGTGATGATGAAGCAAGCACAATGTTGTATTTCATTGATTCAGTGGGTTCATGATTAAAATAAACCAATGTAGCAATTTAGGGGTTTTGTGCTTCCTTTTTTTTTTCCCCTCTAACAAGAAAGAAAGCTTTTTAACAGTTTCTCGCGGCAGGCATAATGTGCATCTGTGCTCTGATTTACTGCACATGCTGCCTTCTCTAGCATCATGTTAAGTTAGGGTATCAGCATGGTAGGTCACACAGTAGGAGTGACCTTTTGCTAATCACTACACATCAGTTACTACTGGCACACAGCTCATTACTAAGAAACCCTCCAACTAGCTGGCTTTCAAATCCGCTTACACTTTGATTTTTTTTTTCCCTTTTCGTTCTTTCTTTTTTCCCCCAGACTAAAGATTATACTTTTACATAAATTCTGTTGTGTGCTGCCTTCTCTAGCATCATGTTAAGTTAGGGTATCAGCATGGTAGGTCACACAGTAGGAGTGACCTTTTGCTAATCACTACACATCAGTTACTACTGGCACACAGCTCATTACTAAGAAACCCTCCAACTAGCTGGCTTTCAAATCCGCTTACACTTTGATTTTTTTTTTTCCCTTTTCGTTCTTTCTTTTTTCCCCCAGACTAAAGATTATACTTTTACATAAAAGCTTCTGTTGTGTAATTTTGTCAACTAGGGTTCCAAAGTCAAAAAGGCACCCAGTTAATTTTCCATGATTATAAAAGGAGCCTGAAAATTCATACTGAAGGTAGGCCTGTAATCTTGGGTTTCATTAAAAAGGTCAGAACGTTTTTACTCACCACCTATTATTAAAATGTTTGAGGGCTGCCATTAATTTGATTTTTCAGGACACAGAAATCTCACTGGAAATTAGAATGTAATCCTGCTGTTGCTTTACTGACACTTTTCATAGGGTAGGATACGGCTGCAGGGACTAAGAGCTCTCCTGCAATTTACAATTGGTTACTTTGGACAAATGGCAGGTGACTAATGCAAGACAAACTGTTTGCACAACCTGGGAGCACTGGGTTTAATTTCAGTTTCTGAAAGAGGGGAGAAAATGTTTCTATTGACGTTGAACTGTGAGCTGTCCCCTGCCAATACATCTGCCACATTTAATACACAACACTCCCCCCACCCCCAACAATGTGATTATTAGAGCTACAGAATTCAATAGCTTAAGAATACAAAACATAGCTGGAGCAAAATGAAATGGTTTTTAACTTACCGGCCATTTGCTGAATGCCGCTGAAGGCACCCAAGTTACTGGAGGAAGTTGCTTGCTGCAGGAGCTGCAAATTAACAACACAACACAGCAATCTATCTGACATTAATGTAACAAATGAAGATAAAACTAAAATGAGCTATCATTTCACATTTGGAGTATTTATGCTTTCCTTTACATTTATATAGTCTCTTGCTTCTGTCTATTGTTGGAATGAACATCCCTAGAGTCAATGCTGTAAATCCATATTAATGTCTAATCTCTATTAAGAAACACAGAGACACAAGGGAAACTCAATAACATTGCTGCTTTAAAACAATTAATCAATTTATTCTTTTTAACAACCAGGTGTTAAATCTATTTAAACCAACATAGCGTGACTAATTACAACCCTCTGTAGTCTAGTAGTTACCATAACTCATCTCTGTCAATCACGGTCCATTCTCCCCCCCCCCTTGAATTAAGTTTTTTCTTTATTATCTTTATGAATCAAGCACACAGATACTCATTAAACTGGTATTTGTATATAACAATTTAGCCTAGCTCAGTATTAATTAGCCTACCTCAGTACTAATATATATTTTTAATTGCCAGGTAAATTGCTGTTTATAATTATATCACTATACCAAAGCATTGTATGCATACAAATTATGTATTTATGCATACACAGTACATATATACGGATGCATCTATTTGTCTAACTCGGAACCATCAGGAACTCTCCAAGTTATCCAAAAGCTGCTCAAGCAGACCTCTCAACTCCAGAGCCACAAAAGGCAGAGGCTCCCTCTCAGCCGTGCTGCAGGGGAGCCTCTCTCGGCCATCCAGGACCTAAGACGTGCGGCTGTGGATTTCGGATTTCTCCAACAGGGGCAGCAGCTAACGCCTCTTCCTCATCTTACAAATGGACCAAGGAAAACACCATTTTAAATTTACGAGGAACAAATTCCTTTCCCCTGCCATCTTCACTTTCTGTACAAGGTAGTATGAACCACGCATGTTTAGCATTGACAGGACCACGCATTGAAGTGAAAGCCATTTCCAAATGAAAATGTGGAAAATTAGAGGACTGAACCACAACATTCTAGTTTAGAGGCTGCACCATGTAGATATGGCCCCTACAGTGTTCAGCTGCCTATCTGTCCTCCCCTAAGGAAGAACTTAAATTTTATTCCAGCTATAGAAAACAGGCTCTAACATTCAAAAGAACAATAAAACTAATGGCATCAAATTTTATTTTGCAGCACAAGTAAACTTTAAATGCTTGCCTTGGTCAGCACTGATATATCTTGAAATGTTTATTCAAATTCTATTTCTTGTTATTTATTTTTAGACCATGTGATAAACATATGGAGTTTTTTATATAGAAGAAGACATGCTACCTATCCTGGAGGACTCAGCAATTTATTGCAGGGAGTTTACTATAGCTGATTTACCATGGTTCCAAATAAATACAGCATAATACATCCACCGCCTCTGAAATGAACTTACAGCTAGATATTGTGGTGTGAGTCCTCCAAGACCTGTGAGGTTTCCCCAAGTGGCAGTATTGAGCTGTTGCATCTGCTGTGCCAACTGCTGCTGCAAACGCCGCTGCTCCTTGTCCTTTTGGGTATCGGCAAACTTCACCACGATTGGCGAAGAGCAGCCCTGTGGTTAGACAGATCAGGAAAGACAGCAGCGTTAAATCCCACCGAGTCACCCTCGTGTTGTGAGCTCAGCCATGTCCCATAGGGCCACCAGCAATGGCATGACCTGATCGCTCACCCTCTCTTTGTGATTGGCATACGTAGGACCACAAGGACTAAGATTTTCAGCTTCTTAGGAAAAGAGCCTATGGAGAAATTATTGATTCCCCAGTTCTTTTTATAAAGCACCTTTCCTCAGGCTCTCTTTTCCTTCCAGCTATCAAAACTGCTGCCAGAGACAGCAAAGTGTACCAGTCCTCTTTAATTAAGCTTCACAGTTGACGAGATGGACGTGATGCTTTGTCTGCAGTCTGTTTTCAAGGCATCGCCAAAGGGAGAGGTGTCCAACCTCCCTGCTGCCAGGGACCGCACAGCCAACACCGCCCTGCCACCACGGTCTGGCTGTGCGGTCACTCTCAGTGCAGCTGGCTTGTGTACCCTACGTAAATAGACTGTGAGCAACCGATTTACTGCAGCGCCCATCATCAGTGGTCCCTTTCATATCAAGGGCCCCCAGTCCCAAGTGAGCACAAAGGGCGGTGCTGCTAGGACAATTCACCCACCTGCGGTCCGCTCCCAGGCACGCTTTGTATCAAGCACCCTTGAGATGTGAACAAAGGGCAGGATGCAGACCAAAAGTGACTAGTTCTGGTGATAGCAGCCTATTCCTGATTGCCACTATTTCTTCTATTGCTTCTATAAGCCTCTTGTTACATGATATGGGAGGGTTGTAAGACACCTTAGGAAATAGGAAGGCTGTAAGAAAGAACTAGAGATCTGGTCTGCAGCCTACTCCTCACCCATGTCTGCGGGACCCTGGGAAGAAGTAGGAGGTCATAGACCAGATGGAGTTTTGAGGTAAGCTGGATATTTCCTTTGGACTTCAGATTGTGTATTCCTGGGCAAAGTCACTGAGAGAATGAGACGTGAATATGAAAGATGTCTCTCGTGCTCTCGCTCTATTCCCTCCCCCCCCCCCCCCCTAAATATAAA